AAAAAACACTCCCATTCTGGAACTTCTTTGAATTCACATCAAAATCAGGCTCATTTTCTCATTCACTTTGCAGGGAGGTGTGAAACCAGATGCTGTGATGAGATGGCCAACAGAATNTCCCAGAGTTCTCCAGCCAGAAGAGCTAGCTGGAGAATTCTGGGAGTTGAAGTCCACAAGTCTTAAAGTTGCCAAGTTTGGGAACCACTGGACTATAAGAAGAATTAACGAGAAAAAGAAAAAATACTGAATATGTACTTCATAATAATATATATGTTATTATAAGCAGTGACCTCCTGAAACATGCATTATATGTCAATAGAAATATAATGAAAAAGAACAGTGATTATGTGAAACAGTAAAAAATACTGAAACCAAATATGAAATGGTATAGAATTTCCTGCCTGAGCAGGGGGTTAGACTAGAAGATCTCCAAGGCTTGGTTCCATTTTGAAAATGTAGTGTTTTGTATTTGTGTGTGTATAGAAAAGGGGAAAAAGAGTTAGAGGGGGAAAGAATTATTCCAAGCTATTACTAAATGAGAAAGCAGTGAGGAGAGACAGAGCAGTGGGTTTTCTTTAAATAGAATGTATTACTAGAAATTAAATTATTTTAAATATCATAGTCTTGGATAACATAAAAATAATTTTCAGTTTAAAAATTGGATGAGTAATAAAATAGCTTTATGTTGTTAATATGAGTATTCTATTTTTATGCTTAACCTATTTGAGTGCAAAGATTTTGCATTAATGGAATTTCTGGAACATCTCCAGGCCTTTGACAAAAATGCTAAAAGGGAAGCTTAAAATGTCTGGAGATATGATCTTTGAGCCATTGGAACACATCCAAATAAAAAGGTTCTTCTTATTGTGGTTAATCTCTTTTTGAAATAATTTGTCTCCTAAAAAACAATGAATTCCTTTTCTCTGAGAACTAATTAAAATATATCACTTTCTTTCTTCAGAAAGTTCCTTTGAATTGGTGATACACAACTAACAATTAAATATAATTTGGGATCAAATTATACTAAGTATACAAACTTTACTGTATTGAATTATTTGTTTCTTGTGGGATAAATAATACATTAAAAAGAAAGTAATACTTTTACACCTCACAAAGTTTTCATTCTGATTTAATTTTTCTTTTTATTACAACTAAGGCCAGGTATGGGCTGTCTGTGATCCCCAGCCACATTTTATTTTGGCCCCCAGTGAGGCCAAAATAAGGAAATAATTCACTAAACCTTTATAAATCTTAATCCTCTTTAATATTTCAAAATGAACACCAGAAGCTCTATCAGCGTATCAAAAGTTACAATTATCAATTAGTTGCACACACAAAGCAGTTTCATTATCATACTTTGAGTCAGTTTTCTAGAAACCACATTTACAATATACCATACCTCAACAGCATCAATGTGTATTCTTAAAACAATCCCAAGTAGGTGTTGGTATCTTGTATGCAGGGGTGGGATTGAAAAATGTTAGCAACCGGTTCTCTGCCTGGTTGCTGGGCATGGCCTCGGTCGATGGACGTGGCCTAAGTGGGAGGGAAGTTTTCAACCTCCCCAAGCTCTGGAGGCTTTCCTCGAGTCTCCAGCAGGGTGAAAATGGCCTCCCCTGGCCTCCGGAGGCTCTCTGAAGACCAGAAACAAGCCTGTTTCTAGACTTCTAGAACTTCCCAGAGGCCCGTTTTTCACCCTCCCATAGCCTCCTTGCAGGGTACTTACCTGGCATGATGAATGGGCTGCATAGAGACTCCTGCGAGCAGAGGGGCAGGGTGGGTGGGGCCAGCCAGTCCTTGCAACTACTGGTTCAGCGAACCAGATGTAAAATTAACATCCAGGTTGCCCGAACTGGTCCAAACCGGCTGAATCCCAACCCTGCTTGTATGTAGATTGTGGTTGGCAAGAAATAGGCAATTATTTTTGGCTTGCTTGTTGATTGTCTTTAGAGATCCTAGCTAGCACAGATGGGCATACACACGGATGAGATAAACCTATCTTTACTTTGAACAAGAAATGCTGTAGGTGGCATGGATAGTAACCAGTATATGAATTGTTTATCTTACTAAGAAAGATTATTATTGGCTGGTCAATATTTGGGTGTCTGTTTGGGGACAATCCTGGTGCAGAAGATTCCAACATGGAATGCAGAATCGTGATCAACAAAGAAATGAAAAAGAAAGATACTTTGGATGTCTGAAGGGGAAATCATTGTCGGGCTGTTTTGTGAATAATTATTTGGATGATACAAGCCTGAAGTAACATACTGAATTATTTCTGTTACATGTGCTTTTATTAAAATCACTGCTATGAGATGGTATGCTGTATAAATTGTTTAAATAAATAAATACATAGACAAATGTATTTCAGTACTGTCCCAAGGTGATTTTTCAAGAAGTAACAGCACTTTCTGGTTTTTCTTTGAAGACATTTCACTTCTCATCCAAGTAGCTTCTTCAGCTCCATAGACATTTCGGCACCATGTTGAAACTCTGACCCCTCAGCTACATCTTTCTAGCCTTCTTCCTGTACTTCTGGTATGGCTAGCTGCTGAGAGCTAAATAGCTTGAAATAGATCTATACCAGTCTCCCTTTATTTGTCAGTAAAATATAAATTCAACACAAAAAATAGTTTGTCATGAAAGTGACTACCTGTGAAGGCTTCTGGACTGAGCCTGAAAGGCAAAAGTGGAAGCAGTATGCTCCGTCCCATATTTGGGTAGAACAGGTTGACCGGATAGACCGGTTTCACCAGAAAACACTTAATCTCCCCTCTGGTATAGCTGACAAAGTGAGGAAAGCCCATGGCTTAGAGGTTAATACATCTATCTAATATGCAAGTAGCCTGGGTTCGAACCCCAGAAAGGGTGTGGCTAGCTGATGAGAGCTAAATAGATTTAAATAGATCTATACTAGTCTCTCTTTATTTCTTTGTGCGTAAAATATAAATCCAACATCCTGGCAGTTTTACTAAAGTAGTATCTTGTTAACTCTTCAGCCAGTTGCTTTACTCTTGAATACTTTCACAAGAAATAAACAGCTATTCTTTAGCAAAGAAAGGTGACAGGATGTGATTTTCTGATTCCCCTTCCCCTTTTTTTTCTTGCCTCCATTTAAGCTTTTTCTATCCCAAGTTCTAAGATAAATTATACAGGAGTGTTTGCCATTGCAGTGCAATCACTAGTGTTTTTCTCTAGTTTTCCCACCTCTCCAATCCCATCCCTTCTAGATGACCTCTGTTTCTCATCACTAAGTTGAACAAGAGGACAGGATGGTATGGGAATTTAGGTTCCTCCTCCACTTGCACACAAACCTTTTTAGATTAATGTCACCATTGTGTCACAGGTATCTTCTCTCCTTGCCACCACTAATCATCAGGTTGCTGGGTTGCTACAGCTTCTTTACAACTGAGCGTCTTAGCATTTTCTTTTGAAAGCTATATATCTGCAAGCCGGAATAATAGCACAGTTACGATTCTTCTGTCAACTCCACTCGCTGCTGGCCAAAATAACCAGTCAGTTTCCTTTAACATCTTTTAGCTGCTCTGCTGGCTTCCTTTCATGTGGAAGATCTGTCTGAATCAGCTACAGCCTCAATGATCAGCCCAGTTCATCTCTCTGGAGCTTTTAATTCTTTCTCTCTCTGGGACTGGGTTATCTTAAATGAAGCCACCAGACAGCAATCCATGGATACAATAAAAGCAGAAAAATAACTACATTTTGCTGCTCTAATTGTAATACTATCACTGTTAATAAAGGCTGTTAGCAGTGTTTCAACAGGTTCATTTCTCATCATCTAGTAGCACTCTTCGGTGTCTCAGCCTAGAGAAAGCAATTGGTTAAGGGACAAAAGAGGTGACACCCGGAACATTCGTTATGGCTGCATGACAAAAATGCTGCATTTGATTCCAGCTGGGTTGCTTATGGCCATCAAGCCACAATTGCTCCATTTTGATTTGGTAGACATACTTCCCTCCTTTAGAGGGATTTCAGGAACAATTGTGTTCCTCTAGTTGATAACATTCCATTATTCCATATTTTAAATAATGTTTTCTTCTATTAGTATATATTAAAAGTTCCAATCAAGTTGGCATTGACAATGCTTTGTGCAGTTGCTTATTTTTTTATTTGCATTGTGGCATTTTAAAAATATTTGAATATTAGGAATACTTTTTTTAGTTAAAATTTTCATTGAAAAGCTAGAAATGTTTTCCTTTTCATGAATGACCAAAAACAAAACAAAAACTATGGGTTTATATTCATTTTAGAGAGAACATACATCATTTGCACTATGTCAGGCTTCTAAAAAAAACCTATCTTGTGCTACATCCTAAAACCTTTGATATAGCTTTTTTTTTTTTTCATTCTTTCTGTGTTTCGAATGTATTATAACTTTTTTCCATTTAGCCACTTTTTGTCAGGGTCTTCCAAGACCGTGCTTAGTGTGCAGTAGTATATTGTAGTATAGTAATGATATGATAAAGTATACTTTTGGATCAGTGGGGTCCTAGCTTTGTAAATTAAGATATTGAACAGTTATTCCATCTTTTTCTTCCTGGACAGCTTTTTTGTGGTAAGAAGAAAACAGAGGGAAAAGAGGTTAGAAGTTGAAGGATGCTATCTTTTGTAAAATTCAAAAAATGTGGCATTATTTTATGAGAAAAGCTTCATTTACAAGAATTCAAAGTGCTCTGTTTACCCTAGCATACTTTTCTTCCACCTGTCAGTCAATACATAATTACTAACTCAAGGCCATCGTCATAATCAAAATGAATACAATGAATTGAGAAACATTTTCTAGACACATTTTAATCTGTGAATGTCTGCAGATGGGTAATTACAATTCTATAACTTCTGCCAGTCTATTTTTAAAACAACTTCAGCCTCAGATATTTTGAACTATGTCTCACTGAGCTCTATGTGACTTTATGTGATCATTATCTTTAAGACAGGATCATTTAATTATATGCTCTAATTGTTATATTTTTTATTTTGTTTAGGTGCAGAAGTGATATATGTAAACTTAATTGCTTATAATGGTGGTCACTTGCAGTCATCATTCTGGATTGTGGATAAGCAACATGTGTACATTGGAAGTGCCAGTTTAGATTGGAGTTCACTGGGGCAGGTATTAGTTCTTTAAACTGCAAAATAAATTCTTTAAAAATTATAATTAACTTTGTTATGGCAGATACAGCCATTGGCTTTTGTATATGTGGATCATTTATGTTATAATTATGTATTTATTTATTTATTTATTTATTATTCATTTATGGTCATGTGTGTCTCTGGGTGTTATGTGAATTTCGTTGTGTGGGTATACAGTGATACATACAATGACAATAATCTAAAAAAAGTAAATCTAAATCTAAAATTATTTCATTTCATGACATAACTCTGGAAATTGTACTGTTCTTAACTGAATCTTCTAAAATTAGATAAAGTAATATGATACAATAGGTTGTATGGCAACCTCTACTACTATTATTAGTATTATTAATTTTAGTAGGCTCAGTTCAATTGCCCATGTACCAGTGTGTACATTATTCTCCCATGTATAACACCTTCAGCACAGGGGGGAGTCACTTACCTTCCCTACCAGTTCACAAATGTGAGCACACATGCCTTGTGTGCACATGCGCACTGCCTTCTGCACATGCACGTTGCTTGTGCATTATGTCGGGGGAAGGTAGGTGGAGCCTCCTGCNTACATGCTACTCTATATCAAATTGTTGATTTAGGCATGAATTTGTTTTGCTTTGGCCTGTATATATTGAGGAAACCATTATGACAATACCATGCAAGAGACTGTACTAAATATAAACCATATTTACAAGTGAACTTTAGCCAAGAACTATTGTGAATATATACAGAAAGACCAAGCTATACTTTAAGAAGTTCAGTTAAGAATTGTTCTCCTTAATTCCTATAAGGGCACTATAAAGATCATTTTAATAAATACAGTACATGACTTTTTAATCAAGTCCAAATTTATTCAGATTGAAAACTCCTTGAAAGATTATACAATTAATTGCATTGATTTCTCCATCTCAGACTTATAGGTATGAGACAATAATTCATCACTTTAATTTGATAGAATTCTTGATCTAAACTTCATAAAATAATGTTCCATTTCATCCCGTTTTATTTTTTTTTAACTTTTAACTTTTCTTTAATCCTTGTCATGAAAATATCATCTTTGTGAAGGGCACTTTTCAGAATACTTAATATACAACTTTTAACTTATTTCATTCAAAACCTAATCACACATTTAAGCCTTGTGTATTATTTATATTGGACTTACTTTGAACTTTTAACATTTGATTTTATCATATGAAACTTTCTTTTTAAAAATTTATTTATTTATTTAATCCTGCCATTATTATTTTTATAAATAAATCAAGGTGATGAATACACACCTACTCTTTCATAACTTCAACATTCATTATCATAATTAAAGAAAAAGAAGAAAAGGCCAGAAAATTGTTTTGACTAATATGATCAAACCAACTCCCTCAAAATTGTCCATGTTGTAAGTTTACAACAGTGTGATTTTGTTTCTTTTTTTAACACCTCCATTCCTTTAGCTATAAAAGATACATCTGTTAATACAGTAGGTACATAGACAGGCAGATTATTATTTGTGATAATATGGATCATTTTTGCTTACTCGTGTACTGTTAAAATTTTAATATCAATCCTACCTCAGCAAAAGATACATTTCATAGTTGAATAATTACCATATTAACATGGAATTTAAAGAATAGGATGATATGGATGTTGCATTTTGTTTATTATCCAATAAATAATGGATTCCACTATCAACGTGCTTTCAATGGCATGCTAAATTAGAAAATAATGCCGAGGGATTCCTTGCTTAGGTTTTGAACTTTATAACCCAGGACAGTTAGAAATCCTCGTGCCATTTTCGTGCCAAGAGGAATAAATCCACTTTTTGCAGTGGTCAGAATCACTATTTTGAAACCAATATTAACAAAATTTAGAAGTGACAGGAACAGAACTGTATGTTTGTGTGATAACTTCTGTTGTCAAAGAGTAGAGGTCTAAACTCTTACAATCACATGGCTACCTTGTTCAGTAACTGATGTGGAAATATTTTTCTCTAAAGGTCTGTTTGGATATATAATTTTAACCAAGGTTGAAGGATCCTGAGCCATCTATTGACTAGAAATGTTTTGGAGCAACCCTCAGTTCTTTCAATTAAAACTGGTCACTATAATAAAAGTAAAATGGTCTAGAACAGGACTGTCAAACTTGCAGCTGGATGCATCACACGCTGGCCACGCCAATGCCCACGCCCAGTTTAGCGAAGGGGAAATATTCCCGATATGTCACATGACGCCACCATGATGCCTCAAGTTTGACACCCATGGTCTACAGTGTTACAGGAATTCTCATAGAGGGAAACATATGAAAAACAAATAATTTACTCACATATTTTATCCCTAGATTGACATTTCTTTTATGTGAACTGTTTATCAGAGGAAAAGGACAGCTCCGCTTCAATACTTTAGTTATTTGAGATAAGCCTTACCAATTTCCCAAACAAGAGTTCCTTGCATTGCTTAGATCTGCTATGATCTTATGTTTTCTAGTGCACCTGTGGGAAATGTAATTTGCAAAAACAAGTTGTTATAAACTATATCTACCTTGTATATGAGCAATGGGCTTTAATTTCCAAAGGCTGAACACAAGGCAATTGCTACATGTTTATGTAATTCAGTTTTATGATATGACTTTGATGAATGCCTATGCACCGCAATTGCTTTATTACAAGAATATTCAATGTTTTATACTCTTTTTTTAAAAAAAAGTATATATTGCATGATTCCATAATTGTTCTGTTGTCTGCATAAAATATAAGCAACCAAGCAACGTGTGATGTTAAGAACATAATAATTACAGTAGTTAACGTCAATCCATTACAAGATCTAGATGTTAAAACACTTTAAAGGCAGATGGGAGACAATGTAATAGGAAGCCCGTTTCAGTAGATAGTGGGCTTGGTTATACATGAGTCAGTATGTGTTTGTTACACCATGTTCATATGGAGTTAGAGGCCTTAGCAAATCCTGGAGACACTTGCATAATTCAATAGGGCTTTGAATAAATTAGTGTTGGCAGAATCATAAGGGTAATTATAAAAAAATGGGATTTGTAGAATAACCACAAATACAGTGCAATTCTTTTTTTCTTCTTTTGAGATATGTTGGTGGAAATCCATTTTGTCTTAAAAAAGGAAATGTATAAAGCCAGCATTCCCTAAATTTGTGTCCTGCAGATACAGTATATTAGGATTCAGATACTGCAAGGCTGATCTGGCTGAGAACCCTGAGTTGTAGTCTAAATCTATGAGGGGAACTATATATTTGAGGACAGCTAGTTTTAAGTAATATTTTTCAGTGTTGTCATTCATGCAGGGTGCAGTGGCTATTTTTCTTGGCATTGTTAATAGTACATACTAAACAATATGATGAACATTAAACTGAAATGCATACTAGAACATTTGCTAAAATTATTTATTTCATTGTTGCAAAACGTTAATCCCAAATCAAGGTAGGCTTTCTATGGTGAGGAACTCTTGAAAATATTAAGCATTTAAAGACATTCCGTAGGGTTCAAACTATTGTTTAGGTTGACCATTAATTTGAGTTTTCTGTCACTGAACATCAGTCTTAGGAGCAATGACTGGTTGTGAAGTGGGCCATTGTTTAGAGCAGAATTCCCTATTTTGGAGCTCTCAGTTTCTTGGAGAACTCCTACCATCTCATTTAATATTGTAAACTGCCTAGAGTTACCCTGTGATAAGATGGGCAGCCAATAAATTGGACAAATAAATAAAGAAATCTCCAACACAATCCAAATGGGTTAGGAGTGAATAGAAAGATAATTCTCTATGGGAAATTATTGGGGAAACTGATTTACAGTGTTACTAAATGTAACCAAAGATAAAATACTTGATTATTTGTTTGAACCTAAATGGGAATACCAAAGGGATGGATTGATGTAGAAATCTCTTTTTATCGTATTTCATATTTAAAAATCATTAATTTAAGTCTCCATAAAATTAGAATTCGTGTTTGAAAGAAATGTCATGTTATATTTATAATGCTAATTATAAGTTATACTTATAATACATACCAAGTTGTCAATTATATAACACTGATGAAATTATTGTATATTGCATTAATATAAAGCTATGTAAATATTACTTTTTAATGCAATTGTTATTAGTTTTTCTCATACCTTTGTTATATAAAATTCCTGATATTACCCAGAATGTATTTCTCATAGCATGTTTATCCTTTGTTTTATTTTCAGGTGCAAATTTTTAGGCTAAGCCGACTAACTTTTTATTTGACAGAAATAAAAGCAACATGTTTTGGTATATCCCAATGTCTTTTCTATCACTGCTAACATCTCGCAGTATTACAGCTGAATCTTATCAGAAACTGTGTAGAGGTACTGTTAAAAGGCAAANTTTTCATTTTAAAAAAATGAATAACATGTGCTGCTTTTTTATAGGTATTGGCCTTTTTTGGATGGAAAGATTAGAGAAGCACTGATTCTACGCAATATTAAAGTGCGACTCCTTATAAGTTTCTCCAAAGAAACAAATCCCCTCACTTTTAACTTTATTTCATCTCTTAAAGCAATTTGCACTGATGTTTCTGACTGTAGTTTAAAAGTTGTAAGTATTCCTTGTGTTGTTTGTTTACATAGCTAAAACAATATTCTAGTACATTTCTTTAGCAATTGTGTTGTATCTCAATCATATGAATTCCAATGTAAATCCACAGCAAAATAAAACAAGGTCTTCTTTCCTCTTAATATAATAATGGAAACCGAGAGTCATTATTTCAAGTTTCCATATTAATCTCACTGCACATTTTCTGCTCAGATTGTGTTTGGTTCCCCTCTTGCCAGTTAAGCATGGTTGCTGTTGTGGTATACTGTTATGTTGATTCTTTGATTCTATGAAACTTTCAAAATTTTCTTCATAATATGAATGGAGAATATTGTTTAATATCTTGGAATATTAGAGTATTGTATAATATCTCAGAAGTATTGTATAAGAATATTGTTGCCTCTTTACCTAAAATCTAAAGAGTTGTTCAGATGTATTGTTCAATAATATGATTCTTCTTCTCCTATAGCAAAGTTCTAAAAAGAACTGTTGTAACTCCCTCCCTCCCATGAGTGGAGCACAGCTTTCTCTTTATTTTAAAGAGGAAGGTTTTGATTCTTTTTAAACTAATTTAAACTATAGCTATGTCCAATCTCAGAAAAACTGGATTAGGTTTTCAATGTGATTTAGGAAAACTATTTGTGGTTTGGGGAATTGCTTACTTCTCTAATCCAGAAAATAAAATAAAGCTAATAATAACAATGAATTGTAACTGAAAACTTTTCGGTCTCTTATTTTAGGCTGTATCAAAGTAATAGTAGTGAATTAGGGTATCAGTTTGAGGACATGCTACTTACTGTCTTTATGGTAGTCTTCAACTTACAACAGTCCATTTAGTGACCGTTCAAAGTTACAACAGCACTGAAAAAAGTAACATGGCTTTTTTTCACACTTACCACCATTGCAGCATCCCAGTGGTCCTGTGTTCAAAATTCAGACACTTGGCAACTTACTTATATTTATGACGGTTGCAGTGTTCCGGGGTCATGTGATCCCCTTTTGCGACCTTCTGACAAGGAAAGTCAATGGGGAAGTCAGATTCACTTAACAACCATGTAACTAACTAAACAACTTGAATGATTCGCTTAACAAAAAGGTGTCAAAAAGGTGGTAACAGGGGGAAACTCACTAAACCAATGTTTGACTTAGCAACAGAACTTTTGGGCTCAATTGTTGTCATAACTTGAGGACTACCTGTACTTACTGTTTACATAATCACAACTAGCAATAATGTATCAAGCTTTTGAAAATCAACTTGTCTATTAATGTGGAAATTTTGCAAAAGGCAATCAAAACTTAGGTTATTTCATAATGTTTTTATAGATTTTATTTTCCCTTTTCCAAATCTGATAGGTCAGCATGTTTAAATTTAAAGTTCCTTCAGCAATGTGGAGATTAGCTACCTCTAAGTGAAGTTTTTTTTCATTCAATACAGAAATTCTTTGATCTTGAATCAGAAAGTGCATGTTTTATTAAGGAGCCAAAAAACTCTTCTCTTCTCAAGCTAAATCGCAATAAATATGTGGTAACTGAAAGAGCTGCTTATATTGGTAAGTAAATAATTGAATGAGCCAGTTCCAATTATTTGTATACTGTTTGTAGCTTTGAATCTAGAATAATTGATTAAATATAAAGCATTTGAAGAATAAAAACCTAATTGATATAATAATTTATATAAAATATTGTTTTATTAGTAAACATTAGATTTGAAAAAAATTAGCATGTGACACAATCTGCTTATGTATGAAGCTGAGATTCTCAGGGAGAGCATATAAATTCAATCTGCCTCCATATTTGATATAAAATGTCAAAAGTGTTCAGCCTGAAGTTTAATTAAGAAAATGAGTTGTTCTCGGGGAATGTTTTCCAATTGTTACATAACTTTGTCCTTTCATTTACCTTATAGGTAATTTTGACTGGGTTGGGACCTATTTTAATCAGAATGCTGGAGCTGGTCTTGTTATCAACCATGCAGACACTGGGAACAAAACCAGCATCATTAAGCAACTTAAAGCTGTGTTTGAAAGGGACTGGTACTCACATTATGCTAAAAGTTCAACAGCAAAGATCTCAAACTGTCTAATCTACAAACACAGCAAAGCTGCAGCCAATAAGTCTGCCATAAGCAATATGAACTGACGGCCCTTGTACTGTTCAGTATCACAGCCAAGGGAGAAGTAGAGTAGGACTGACGCNAAAATAAATTCTTTAAAAATTATAATTAACTTTGTTATGGCAGATACAGCCATTGGCTTTTGTATATGTGGATCATTTATGTTATAATTATGTATTTATTTATTTATTTATTTATTATTCATTTATGGTCATGTGTGTCTCTGGGTGTTATGTGAATTTCGTTGTGTGGGTATACAGTGATACATACAATGACAATAATCTAAAAAAAGTAAATCTAAATCTAAAATTATTTCATTTCATGACATAACTCTGGAAATTGTACTGTTCTTAACTGAATCTTCTAAAATTAGATAAAGTAATATGATACAATAGGTTGTATGGCAACCTCTACTACTATTATTAGTATTATTAATTTTAGTAGGCTCAGTTCAATTGCCCATGTACCAGTGTGTACATTATTCTCCCATGTATAACACCTTCAGCACAGGGGGGAGTCACTTACCTTCCCTACCAGTTTACAAATGTGAGCACACATGCCTTGTGTGCACATGCGCACTGCCTTCTGCACATGCACGTTGCTTGTGCATTATGTCGGGGGAAGGTAGGTGGAGCCTCCTGCAGCCGCTGCTACTGGTTCGTCTGAACCAGAGAGAACTGGCTGAATACCACCTCTGCTTCAGCAATTAGATCCTCAAGTGGCATATAACTTGGATACAAAGTGTTTCTCCTCCAATAGTTCTTCTATTTCTTTTTAATACTGCTGATAGGAAATTCATTTAAAAAGCCCTCTGCAATTAATAGTCTGTATGCAGAATAATTATTTCTGAGGGCAATGCAGCAGGTTTATAGGTTTATGGTCAACAATCAATGATGTTGTTTTCTAGAGCTAATGCTTTTGTCACTGTGAATCTACATGACATTTGGCAGATACTAGCTTTTTCACGACTATAAAATGCAACAGATTGGATGATGTTTTTCCCGAACACCCATTACCTAAATCATTGTTTGAAGCAACTCAGTTGCAGACCTAAATGACACCGTAGATAAAGGGAGACAGAAACTGAGTGCAATGGAATCCTGATCCTATTCCACTACTGCTTTTCTTTTTGCATCACAATTCATCAGGCCAAAGTATCATGTTTTTCCACAACTTCTAGATGACATAGGGAATGTATTAGGCTTGTGCAAGTTTCTCTTCAACACATATCTCTGAAAAGCAAGATGATCTATCCCTTGCCTGCAGTAAAGAATAGAATAGAATAGCATAACAGAGTTGGAAGGGACCTTGGAGATCTTCTAGTCCAACCCACTGCCTAGACAGGAAACCCTATACCATTTCAAACAAATCGTTATCCAACATCAACTTAAAAACTTCCAGTGTTGGAGCATTCACAACTTCTGGAGGCAAAATGTTCCAATTGTTCTAACTGGCAGGAAATTTCTCCTCGGTTCTAAGTTGCTTCTCTTCTTCAGACGCAACAAGTTCTAACTATTAAAGTGATGGTAATCCAAATGGCTGCAATGCAGAAGATTACTGACTGAAGGACCAGACATGTGAACAAAATGTATGGCCATTCTAGATGGATATATAAATATGTCTCATCATGCTGTGCAGTTTCATATACGTATCTGCTTTGATGGAATTATTTGATCAAATGACCTTTAGATGAAATCACTACATCTGCCAGCCTGCCACAGAGACAAAGACAAACTTGGTTAGCGATTATATCTCAACGTATCTCAGGGAATGAGGCTATAACAGATGGTTCCCAGACATTGAACAAATTGTAAATTTAGTTTACAAATAGATCAAATTAGATCAGATTTTGAGCTTTCAGAAAAGGAGACTTGAATTTGATCTTGTCTCAAAATCTCCACTTTACTAATAACAGATGCCTGTTTATATTCTCTGCAATCTTGATCTGCCATTCAGATTAATTTCTAAACTAGTCAGGAAATCACTAATTAAACACTGATACCCTAATAGCTACTTTACATGTGTTTAGCCATGGTTTTGTTTCTGTGTGTACGTTGTGTGTTGTGTTTTATTTATCAGAGGAATTGTTAAATGCAAAAGTGAATTTGGGCTTTTAAAAATGTCAGAAAGTGAGCCCTATGCACGTTTAATCCAATATATTTTTAAGGGCGTTGTTTAGTCTTGATTTTGTTGCTGGCTTCTATTCTTTAGCAAGACTGGGAATTATTATTTTTTGCAGTGTTTGCTATCCATTTATTTTTGTAGCTCTATTATCAAAAGAAACAAGAGGCAATTCTCATTGTTTCCTATAAATCAGACATTTTATGGCCTGCAGACCACATCTGCCTGCAGGCTGTCCCAGTCCAGCCTGCAGTGGCAGACATTGGTGGTGGAGGGCAAGGCATTATCAGCATTGGGTGGATGGGCAACATTGGCAGGATCTTGGCAGCAGGGGTCGGTATCAGCATTGGCAGCCCTCCACAATAGTTCCAGTTTCTCATGTGCCATCTTGGGACACAGGTGATCAGTAAAAATAATTTTGATTCTAAAAGAACAGATTGGTGCTGTTGTTTCAAAAAAGGGATAAACTCGTATATATAAAAAAGCCTGCATAAGATGTGACAAGTGCTTTCATATGTTATGAAATTTAACTACTTTTTTCATAGTTGTAAAAAATAATAGTTTTAAGAAATAGCAATACCACTTACACTTATATACCATTCTACGGTGCTTTACAGCCCTCTCTAAATGGTTTACAGAGTCAGCATATTGCCCCCAACATTTTTGGGTCCTCATTTTATCCACCTTGGAAGGCTGAGTCAACCATGACCCTGGTGAGATTTGAACTGCCAAATTGCAGTCAGCCGGTAGTCAGCAAAAGTAGCCTGCAGTACTGCACTCTAACCACTGCATCACTGTAGCTCATATGATTCCATATGAATGATTCCATATGTGAATTAAAATTAGCCTAATGAATATATTCAGCTTCTGAAAGGATAAGATTGTCAAAGTAGAAGAATGGTCATTTTTGCACATATGTTTAATATTGAAAGCAAATAATTTCTTCAGGAGTGCATAATTATAAACTTTACAGCCTCATATTTTGCTCAGCTCTTTCCCAATCATCCTGTCCCTCCTAGAGTTTTAGGTCTGTCTGTTCCTTATCATGCATTGCTCTTTCTTTGGCACTACAGCAGCCTTCCTTGTAGGTTTGACATGCTAGTTGAGATTTATAAGAATTAGTGGAGCATACAGGATGTGCAGAGCATCATGTTTGATACAGAATGAATGAAGTTGATGCTAGAAACATAGTGTACTATGTTCACCTGCAAATGTGAATCAAGAAGAATTTTATAAATGAATAGTTTTCCAGGAATTGGAATTGTTGTGCAATCATTTAAAACTTACATTGTATATCCACTGTGTCAATTTTTATTTTAAAATAATTTAAAATAAAATAGGCATGTGCTGAATCTCTGTCCTTCTCAGGACAGAATTTACTATCTGCTTACAAGCTATTTGTTATAATATGAAAACCTGTCCTATTCTTTTTGCTATTTATTGCTGATTATTTCCAGCACCAACAAATAAATGCAAAGGAAGACAAAACAACAGGATTCTAGTTTAGACTGAGATGCTCAACATATGTATGTATATATATTTCAACATAAGTAATAGACTTTGCAGCAAAAGAACATCTAATAATCACACCAACCTGTCATTTGAAGCTCTTTTAATAGACAATATGCCTAGTAATACATACTTTCATTTCACAGATGAAGGAGCTTGGCATCATCGTATACAACTGCAGTTGCCTGGTTTTAGATTTACAAAGGATATTTGCCTTGTACAGTTCCTTGAAATCCAAGAGCAAAGTTCCACCCACTTGGTCTAAAAGACTGTATGCAGTGTATAGCACTAAAAATAAACTGCATCTTAAGTTGAATGAAACCAAGTCAGAAATCTTTGTCTCAGTGAGTATTTTTGTTCTTGTTTTTAGATAATTTTTAGCTGCTCCCTGAGTTACTTTCTCCTAAAATTATATCCCTAACATACACAATATTTGCAAATCCAATAGTGCCATGCATTTATTTATATACCAAACTTCTTAACCACACATCTCCCTCAGAGATGCCACTAGCGTGAAAAAATACAAGCAGGAAGCAACACCTTGCATCTTTATGTGTAAGAAGGAAGTTTATTGGTACATGATATGGATGTCTTCAGAGTCTACTTTTCAATGATTTCCTTTTACCCAGAAAAATTCTGGCAGCAATAAGGAATAAAAATGAACTTAAAGGAGAAGATGTGATTCTAAGGAGGTGCAGATATATCTAATATATGCCTTATTAGTAAAGCAATGTTAGAAACTGTCTTGGTGGTAATACAGTGGCCCTCCTATAAAATCTTTTGGGCTTATGAAAGGAGGCAGAAAATAGTATCTTTGTTCTAGAAGAAAATACATTAACCAAACCAAACACTGATAATTTTATTTGTAATTATAAGTGAATATTATATCTTTCCCATTCTATTTCCTCTTTCCTTGCCTTTAAAATATTTCTTACCTTAGTTACAGCCTTAAAATATTTCTTTCCTTAATAGATACTTAAATTATAAGATTTAGAAGCCAAGGTATTATTATATTGATCGGGCTACTCACGTCACTAATCAGTTGTATTTTAGCCAAAATAGAAATAACTGCTAAATCCCTTTTTTAGCAAAACAGTCTTTCTTGCCTGCAGTCTAAAGTGTAATTTTCTCTATAGTATTTTATCTTGTAATCCTAAAATTGGCCCTGCTGGTGATCATAATGGAAAATTCTGGATATTATTATGTGATACCATTATCGCAATAATGAAGGAAATTATTAGAAATTTCCCATACATCTGTTGAAGACAGCCTGCAGTTGAAAGGAAAGATTCTATTTCAGCTTAACCAAGGCACAGGTGAATCCCTCCAAATTTGAAACTCAGGTCAGACACCAATCAGAGAATATATTGAGCATCTGAAAGCTGCTCTGATGAACATCGATATGTTCAGTTACAGACATTGCTTAAGGACAAAAGCCATAGAAGT